CGGTTAGCTTAGATGCGAGCGGACCTGGAGGAGGACCGTTGGTGTTGGAGAGTGAAGAGCCCAAGAGGGAAAGGGGAAGGATAGTTGCTTAGATATAGGTGTATAATAATGAGTGTCATTTCGAATTGGAATCATATCAGCGTTGTATTACGGACTACAGCTACACCCATCAAGTGAAAAGTTACTAAAAGGAGGAATTATAAAGAGGACTAGCCAATGAAAGCCAAGCAGCCAACCCCGGATTCTAGCTCTAATTCAACAACCAGGCAAAAAGACACGGTACATCAATATCTTGAGGGTGCAAAAACAGAGGATTCAACTGTCTGAGACAGCTGGGTAACGATGCCCCGTACTGGAATCGAACCAGTGATCTTCGCATTACGAGTGCGACGCCTTACCACTTGGCCAACGGGGCCGGGGCTTGTCGTCCTCTTATTGGCAAGGTCGCTTAGTTTTGGTGTTTATATTCGCGAGCAGAGAGTTTTGGTGTTCTTGGGGCGTTGGGATTTGGGAAATGCGGTGTTGAGGGAAGGGCTAGTTCTGAGTGTGAGGTGAGGAGGTTGAGAGATGGGGTGGCCAAATGAGGATGTGTTGGCTTGGTGACAGGAACTGGAAAGACTGTTGCTTGGTGAATATAGATAGAGGTGTAAGTTCTTTCGTGAGTAAGAGAAAACCTAACCTGCTGCGTCGCTTTATTACTGGCTGCTATTGTCGTAAAAAATGCGTCGTTGACTAGTGAAAATGGGAGAGAATATTAAAAGTTTGAGAGGAAGTTAATGCTGAAATGGCATTGAAGCGAGGAATTATTATTCATGTTTTCGTTTTGATGTTTGCTAAGAAAACCCGATGTTGTAGGACGAAAGTTTTTCTCATCTGCCAGTGGCTGCCACGGCTTTGCCACTCACTTACAAGTCATGTTCCTGCATAACATGACTTTCTAGCGCTACTCCCTCTACTGCAATCCAATGTTTGCTCCTCTGTTCCTATTTTCCATTTAATTTCTTCTTCTGAGCCTGATGTTCGGACAGATTGTTAAAGCAGGATAAGTCTGGGACGCTCTCTGATTCGAGAACTCCTTGATGTCGACTGATCTGGGCGTCATCGGTGCACTTGAATTTGACCTTGGATTGGAACAGCAACTACAACAGCTGCGGGTGACGGGATGCAGTTAAGAGGAAGACCGTATTCGAGAAGTCTGAGGATACAACCCTTGGACGGGAAGCGGACGACGTTAGCGGTGCTTGGTCCTCATCCTCGGAGTCACCTTGTGCGTCCCTCCCTTCGAATCTCTATATCTCGGAGGTCTTTGCCAGGTCGTTGATCTGAACGAGCCAACAAGACGTCTATAAAAACAGAGACAGAACACCAACGACTTTTTCGAGAAAGTTTCTTTTCTCGGTATCATCTGTACCGCCAATGTAACTTGAATCCAAGCGTCCATCGCTGAGCATGTCATAATGAAACACTGGCACGTTACGATAAGAGTTTTCATACCGAGTACATCAGGCGTATAAGAGTCGGTATCATATATGGCAGTCAGTCCATCGATAGACCCCTGAAAACGCTATTACGATGAGAATCCCAGCGCATTTTAACTCTCCTAGGGTCTTGCATTTCTGTGACTCTTGATGGCGTCTGAGAAGAGATGGGCTATCGGCCACAGAATGACAAATGGAGCATTTGTACGTCAGCGTTTCTGTTGTTTGTAATATAGACCTTATTTTGAGTGCCAACATGCTCTCGGTTTTTCGGCGCTCTATTAAAAGCAGTTGACATTCTTCCTCTTCCTTGTATACTCTGCTCGAAGGCCTTCGACCCCCAGTAGTTGTTCAGGCGTCAAGTCGCATTCATCCTTTACAAACTCGTTCCAAGAGCCATTTCACTGTTTCCTCCATCTTTTGTCTCTCGTCCTTTATCTATTAGAAAGGAATCACTTCGTCCCATCTGGTTTCGCCTGGGACACACTTGATGTATCACACAAGCGCTGTGAGCGTTGACAGGTGATACTGCTGCTGCTGTTTCTGCTGTTGTTGTTGTTGTTGTTGGTGTCGCTGAAAGGAGCCCCAAACTCTCTTGCTGACGATACAGAAGGGTTTGAATCACAGATCGCTCGTCCATGGGGTCCTTTTCAGGCTCAAAATCAGCATCATTTCCGGCAAAACGCACCAGAATACCCCGAGATATCATTCATTACTTAAGATGTTTAGCATCGAGAGGGCCGGCTCCTGAAATTCCGTGTCTAGAATCATAGGGCATCCATTTGTTATTGGTTGTAAGGGCGGTATCTCAGGCTTCTGCATACCGAGATCTGACTGCTCATAGAGTCCTTCCATAGGATTTGTAGTGTCTAATATGAATAGTGTCTGGTTTTGTGCACATATATAATAGAACTATGTACCTGCATTGTCCTTATCACCTGGCGAGAATAAAAGGGGCCGTCCTTGGCACATTAAATCTATACATGAGATCATGTCCTGCCTTTCCATGGCTTATAGTAGTGCTCATTCCGGATCATGAATTTTATCGTGGTAGCAGATGACTTTGGACGTTTTGGGATGGTCTTCTCATGGTTTATCTCAGGACATACCATATATAAGTCATCACGAAACACTTTCCAAGTACGTATAATGCTCAAAAAATTGTATCATTTCGGCATAGAACCAATTTTCCATCAGATTTCATCGAAATCTAGCAGGCCCCCATTCCGTATCAGACCCAATACCGAAGGATCATAGACCACCATGGTCATTGTCAATTAGACGCTTGAGAAGGCCAACACAGCAAATGGTGCCTCTATCACTGGGCTCTGAAGCCTTCTATCGATGAACTCATGGTTTAAGAATGGATTGAGCACGATGCACAGGATGATTTCAGTCGCTTCCTGGATGATATGTGATGCCGATGGATGCTGGATGGCGAATTAAACCCAGTTTGCGTGTATTAACGAAAGCAACTTTGACACTTCTGTAGGGTTATTTATTGCAAATGGCATGGAGTTTAGGGGAAATGACGCTGGTATTGCACCTGATAGGTTACTGTTTGCCCTCTGTCTCAGGGCATAAGATCTACCTATGTAGTACTGTAGTCCTCAGGCGGAGTGAAGGAACCCAAGGAATAAAATAGATGTTGGTTTCAGCATTTATTGTGCTAATGAGCATGATGCTGGTGAATGTGTATATACGCAAGTTACACCCCAGATCAGCTGTCGCTTTAGTTTATATACACAGACATCATCTGGAGTTGTCTTTAAGAACGAATATTTCGTTTCTGGCAGTGGCTGGGTATCATCCGATATCCGACTACTAGCCACAGATTAAACGGGATTAGATCAATATGAAATGCCTTATGGCCCGTATTTATCGGATGACAGGATGTTCATTCGTGTATAGCCTATTGTGCACAGTCGATTAGGCTTGCTAGGCTTGTAAGCTGTCTTAAGTAAACTGTAGCACAATTGCGAAACATGCAAGCAAGGGGAGATATATCACAATTCCAGACTTGATTACAGCTCATTGTGAGTGCATCAGCTAGGGCCAGACGATAGGTATGGCTGTAGCTAGAGGTCTAGACCACTGTCAGCAATATAGTCTCGAGACATACGTAGTTCGCCGAATCATCTAGCGCGATATACGGAGTAGCTTTGACCTAAACTCACCAGCTGATCAATACAACAGCTATGTACATTAGTCTATCGCCTTTTCAGCTGTCATACTATCGTATACTGATTCCATTCTTGCCACCAGCTAAGCAAGGGAACTAGTCTAGGTCTATCTGAGACAAATGCCGTCAATATTCGGTCCCGTCACCACTCCCCTCACCGATACAATTCGGCTGCACGATCCCCTGTCCCTTCACCTCCTCCAACACCACCATGCAAAGAACTTTGTCCTCGCACCGATTAAACTCATCGTTCACCGGTGAAACCGACCGACCCCATGGCCGGCAATGGCATCAAACTTTGTTATCATCAGCAGCCACCGAAACGCAGAAGCAAAAATTCCAGAAGAACTCTCTCTTCTCCACACCCGGAAACAACACGGCAACTAATGGAAAAATTCTAGATGCACCAAGCAACGGGTGGGTAACCGTAGAAGTAGAAAAAATCCCGAGACAGGCTCGGGCCCTCCCCAGCGTGGAGACTGCGTTGGTGATGGGATCCATGGATGCACTAATGTATCAAGGGACATACCCGGTCTATCCATCTTGCAGGTTCGCAGAATATCAATGTATGAACGTGGTTAGTCCAGTTGAAGCTGAGTCCAATGGTGGAGATGTAATTATCACAAGGTATCAAATCGGAATGTTTGCTGAAATCTCGATTTTATTGACTCCTCTCGGCTCACGGCAATGCATTGGTATCATTCTGCAAAGGCAAAGACACTTCACTCAAAAACAATGATGATACTCTTTTTACGAACCTCACTCCGTGCCCCCTGGCAGATAGATGTCAGTAACCCATATCCGTCACTCCACTCTGAGCTTCTCTCCATAGAAGCTGCAATAATCAAGCCGTATAGTAATACAAAAACACCAGACATTCATCCTAGTCCTTGTATGCTGCAATCTCAAAACGCCAAACCAATGCGCAAACAAAGGGGACAGTAACCCCGACAAGACGTAGCGCAATGCAGGTGATGCAATATCATGCAAAACCGAGAAATCCAAAGCTCCAGTGTGCTCCCACCGTGCGATGATTCATCCATCATGAGGGATCAATCCCAACTGCTCCCGGTTTCATAATGCGTTAATGTACAATGAAATGCAAAAGTAATGTTTTGTCCTCCGCCCTAAAAGGTAGAGTTCAAGAAACTGCGCTGTCAAGGCGCGGGTATCATGCCCACACTGGGCCCTAAAAAGTCGCGAATCCCAAGTATAATGTCGAATGTTTCTAAAGTGTTGGCATAGATGCAGATGTAGTCTCACCTAGCCCGTCGAATCGGTGTATGGTGGTTATGGATAGAAGGTTGAGACAATGCATTGTCTCGTGTCTTGAGGAAGGCTCATTTCTTGCGTTGGTTACTCGTCGCTGTGATCTTGCTAGTGCTCATCAAGTCGCCAATGTACTTTTGCAGAAACTTGTTATTGTTATCAAGCTTGTCATGTTCTTCGCGAACGGCTTCGATGCGGTTGAAGATTGTGAGAAGAGAGTCCTGCAATGCCTTGGCGTGTCTGTGAAAGTCAGCGATAGCTCTGAGCGAATTGTTCAATTGCCAAATCCTTACCTTCTCATTTCTTCGCGCGCAGCCTTTCCAATCCTATCGAGATCCTCGCTCGTTCTCCTGGGGCTCATTGCCCTGACGTCATCTGGGCCAAAGTCGGGCTCGAGAGGGCCAACTGCTGAACTGTCGCGAGGGACAACTAGAGGGCCGCTGCTTTTCCGTTGAGGTAGGCTGGGTCGGATAGGCACAGGCTGGTGAATAATGGGTTCGTTATTGTCTTCAGGGCTCGAGGATGTGGAGGAATCTGATCGTGCGATTGCATGAGGATGCTCTACAGGAGCATTTGGGAGTTCGTTGACTGCCATTATGATATAGTGTGGTGTGTGGGTGAAGTGGTGGTTGTCGTTCGGTTCAAATAACTCGTAATAAGTCGTAACTTGTCGCACAGAATATACGAGGTTATTGCGACATCCACAATCGTGTGACGACACAGATAATGGTAATTAAGAGGCACCAAAAGTCAAGCTGAATAGCTGACTCAATGGGTGGATGGTATGTCGGTGTAGGTGTTCCAAGAGTCGCGTGAACTCGTCGTCGAGGGGAGTTGTGGAGAGGGGCAAGTCGAGACCAAATAGTTCCACGTGGTTTAAAGGTCTCGAAGTCCGAGCATGTACGCTTGCGAGGGAGGTAACGATTCCGGATCCACTAAGGGTGTGATGAGGCTGGATTGTGTTCTAGAGGGCGTTTAGAAGGCGGAGACGGCACGCGGAGAGGCCGATGAAACTAGCCGCAAATGAACTCGAAACTTGATCGCGATTGAAATCGTGGCTTCGGTAGCGGTAGATAAGATTCGCAAACGCTTGTGTTTGAAGATATCGTGGGTTTGGTGGCTTCAGTCCTGGATTGTGATGTCGAAGCGGGAGGAATGGGTGTGATTGAGTGAGGGTGGTATAGTTTAGTCGTCGGAGCTGAAGATGCTGGCGGCAGCGTGGCGGTCAGAGAACACTAGCCTGCTTTTACTCAAGAATCGAAGCAGGTGGTGGAAAGATTTTGTTGAATTGCGGAGGGGGAAGACCCTGCAAAAAGCGAGCGCGAATGTCAGCAGATGAAAAGAACGAAGAGTGAGAATTGGGATTGTTTGATGGCAGGGGCAGCATGCGAAAATAAAAGGCAACTGCAATGTAATAGAGAGCAGCAACGTCACATTCAAGGATAAATACAGGTGCGTGGGAATGGGTGAACAAGAGGGGATGGGATAACTAACAGCAACAGATTGGAAGATGAATAATAATCAAGTCGTGATAGAATAATGATAACTGATAAAAAGAAGAGATAAAAAAGAAGACCAACCAAATAGTTAAAACGTTAAAAGTTAAATTGAAAGAATATGACGAATAAGTCAGAATGGCCAATCCCGGCAGTGGCAATATATTCCAAGGTGCAAACAATCATGAAAGTCCAGGAGGCAATAGTTTCGGCCAACGGTTGCGGACAAGGCAGAAGCAGGAAGGACCCTTCTTTTGAAAAAGCAACGGCGGGCGATGGCAATGGCGAGACAAGGCAGGGCAGGCAGGGCAGGTTAGGTCGGGTTCGGAGTGGAAGTGGCAGGTGGCAGGTGCTAGGTGGCAGGAAGGAAGAACCCGGCCAGCAGAAAAAGAAGGAGCGAACCCAGAACAGAAAAGGAAGAGACAAAAGAGGGGAAGGGGATGGACGAAATGGGGATGGGAATGTTAAAGTGGATTTCTCGTCAATTTGATAATTTCGCTGGATCTTAAGCTGAGGGTCATCACTACTTCACTAAGGTAGGCGTCGGGATATTTTTCTAGTTCTCTCTCTCTACTGTATGTACGGCGACAGTACCTACAGTGTGCCACTGGGGGGTTCGCAGACACGAGGAGCAGGTACCACTTAATGCTCCGTAAGGTCAGGAAAACCGGCAGTCAAATAACACTGGGCTCTGGAAGAATGAAAAAGACACAGCAGGTGGGCAGCTACAGTATCATCGTGTCTCCCAAGGATGAGGATGGGAGGGGACCCTTGGAAAGATACAATGGACTTGGGGGGTCCCAAATGAGGAAAGTGACGACAGAACAGGGAGTCATGAGACTTGAGATCGACGCCCCTCAGTACAACAAAGACCATCCTGGGACAAGTGTTTTATCGCATTGAATTATATGGGATTGTACTTATGCAGGCATCTGTCATCGGGTATCCTGACCCAGGCATTCAATGTCCCGGTCCAGCAGGAAACAGCATCCTTGGATTGGATGACAGTGGCTCCAGCGTTCTCCCACGCGACTCGACAGCCCCCAAACCTATGGAAGGAAGCTTATGGAAGCTCACCTCACTGGCCCTGCCATCCGCTGGGTGCAGGACTGGCAGAGGTACGTATCTCCTCCACAGAAAAACTGACCTCATGCCGCATCCAATATTGAGATGTTCATTTTCAACACCACAGGCTTCTCAATTCACGAACGTCGTTATTTAACGAAATCCAGAAAACCCCTCAGCATGAGCATTACCGTGCGTGCTCCTTCTTCATACAACCACTTTTGCAATGTCAATCAAATCACCCTGCCTAATTTGAAAAACAAACAAACCCCCCCGCCCCTAAGTAGGCCAAGAGTTTAGACGACCACAGGGAAACGACCCGAGCCTCAGAAACCTCCAAGGCCAAGCCTCCTCTTGAGAAGGCCTAGGGGAGGAAAGAAAGCTCAGGGCCTTGACCCTAAGCGATAAAAATACTTAGGTAAATCTAGCCTACGCTTAGGGGCTCTTTGCTAGGGTTATTTTGACACCGTATATTAGGGTCCGGTGCTCTCTTGCTCCCTGAGGGAAGGCCTGACAGAATTTGGCCGATCAGCACCAGTCGTGACGCAATTGTTGGCCCTTGCAGACCACGGTTGAGGCCCGCTTCTGGAGGCTGAATCCCTGCGATAGGCGCCGAGTGCCTATCAACTAACCAGCATCGGTGGGTTTTAGAGGGTTCGGAGGACTTTCAACGGAGAGGCGACCTCCTAAGATTCAGAGCATGTCCACTATGACAGCCGTTGCTGGGCTCACAACAGCACGGCCGGTTGTCTTCTCTGACAGCGAATAAACTTTTCAACTCTTTCCTTCTTGTTTGCTGGAGATCGACGGTTCTCCTCTTCGGGCCAACCATTCCATCTTTGATACACCATCGTGATTGGGTTTCGGTTGGCCGTTTTCTGTTGTGTTGGACCCCCCAAGTGCCCACCGAGACTCACCAAAAAGATGCTGTTGCAGGTTGAACGCAACTGCGACAGAATGTCTAATACCGACCATCTATTATAATACAGTGTTTACCACTGTCTATTCGTTGGACCGATCCTTGAGCGGTGTCGGTCAGGGCACCGAGTTCGGTACTGATTTGCAACTCTTGTGACTTGACATGCAAATCTTTGTCTGAAATGTCACTCGAAGGAACCCTTCTGGTACATCGCTCAAAGATCATTGCCGGTCAACGACTTAGCTGATCGCCTTGCAACTCCTGCCAAACCCAACAAGTTGGAATGACAAGGAAGAAAAGCGGCCAAGGATATTCTCGAGTATCAAATTGGCTTGTGCCTGGACTTACACCGCACACTCAGGTTCTACAACCCTCTTGGCTGTGATTTCAGCCTCTTTTTTTATCCTATGGTTCGTCGGTGCTTTACAGCTTTGGCTTGCATATCAGTTTGATCTCTCCCGCAGTGCGTTAAGCCATCAATCTGCGTCTCTCATCCCTTTCGCTCACTGGTTATGGGGTTACATTTCACTCCGCCCTCGGAAACACAAGGCGCCATCCAGCAGCAAGGGTCCAGGTACCCCTTCGACTAGTCTGATGTCATGGATCTGCATTCTGCCGCGTCGACTTCCCTACAAAGTCCCTAGGTATCAGGGCGAAACATGACCAATATCACGGTACAGTATTCTCGAAAGATCAACGGCCAACGAAACGGTCACCGTCTTTCGAAACCTCCAATCACTCCTACCTCACTTTCCGGGAACGCACAGTCCAAGACGGTCACCTTTGCCGCAAGTTTTTCGCGCCCCTCTGATAATGATCATCAGCTCTTTGACTAGGTCCGCAAATCGCAATCTTCTCGTCATTCTTCGCACTATCCAGCGTCTACACAAGGGTGTTGGTATCGTTTTGGAAGAAACGTGGAAGAAAAGTGGTCCACGGTTGTAACCGACTGACAGCGACAGGATATTTCATCCTGGACCATCTCCTGTCGTTTAGGCAGAACGTTGTTCTCGCCTGGATGTTCCCCGTGACAAGGGCGTAGAGATGTGCCGGACCTGTCAGAAGTGAAGTCATCGTGAGAGGTCTCCCGAGCCAAGAACTTGAGGCAACAGCGATACGCTCAATGTCACAGCACCGTCTGGTCTTGAGAGTGGTCTCATTCTCATAAGATCATACTGTTTTCTCTTTTTTTCCTCAACGTCATCTTGCCCCAAGCTTTCGCCTGCGAGCTGACTGACCATCTCTCGGAGACACTTATTCGGCCGAGCGGTTGTTTTATAGGGGTCCCTATATCGCTACCGATAAAACTGGGTGCATGGGGGTCAAACCTGTCAAGGTCGTGTTTAACCCGTTGGGCAGCGATTCGGTTGTCAAGCTCGCGAGCCTCAATGGTAAGTGACAGGTAGGATTATTCGTTTCGTTCCCCTCCAAACCCTCTTTTCTCTTCAAATGTGCTCAATGAGGATGTTCACGATGATTCGGAGAGAAAAATAAAAACGCCGATGACCCAACAACTTGTGGTTCCTCAGCACAGATTACGGTTTGAGGTTGTCGGTGTCATTGAAACATGTTTTCAATGGACGAAAGTACTTTGATCAACGTCCTGCGTGCCTCTGATTTTGCACTCAACTGATGCCGATCCTCTTCTTTTCGTTCGCTGTTTGTCCCACAACTTGGTGTTCATCTCGGAAATCCTTCTCCATTTCTGTCAAAAGGTCCACCCATGGTCGGCTCTTGGCAATCCCGCCCCGCTCACACTCCTTGGCCCCATCCCCGTGAGAAGAGAGCGTCAATCTAGCGGTGGACGATAGGTCCTCGAGGGAAGAAGCAGTCACTGTCACTGTGACAGAGATGCAGACCAGTGTGGTGAGCCTTGTCTCAGCCCCGGAGCTGAAGCTCAGTCTGATCGGGTGGCTGACGCCGGTTATCTTGTTTCCGTCAATGGGTTTCACCAATTGAACTTTCACCACTGCCACAATTCCAATGACTTGCACTCATTATTGTTGCGTTTTCAGTCTCGGCCAGTGCCCCTTTAACGATGCAACGTTTATCAGTCGTTGGCCGACGTGTACATCAACTGATGATCTTAACACAGAGCATAACGCCCTCGACACCCCTTGGCTTGATATGCACACTTTGACAAGCACCCCGCTCTGCCCCAGTACTGGTACTACAATTGACTGGAAACACCAACCAGATGTTCGTGAACTGTAGACGGCATTATCGGCAACCCAGAATTTGGATACATGTTTCAGGAACGATGAATCATTGGAAGCAGTGTCTCAAATCCTCGTGATGATGCTGTACGACCATATCGATGAGCATCTCTCTTCTTTTTACGAGCTTTGGCTGTTGTGTAACACCCTCCCCGCTCCTCCGGCATCCTGAGTGACAATCTCTTGCTATGTTATCCGTCCTACCGTCTGACTTGGCTCGTCAAGTGACTCTGAGCCGTCGGATCGGCGAGCTGCGTTTACAGTTAACTCTACCGACGCAAGGCGATCTTAAGGATGTGTTTGAGACTAAGAGGAATGCCTCTAGCATTTTCGAGCTGTCACCATGTCTGATTAGCCGTGTTATATCCCTAGACACTAGCCAACGTCTGCCACGACATGAAACAACTCATACTAAACATGGGTTTTGGTAGCCGCCCCCATATATCGATTGGTATTCGTCAATATCCATCACTTCAGATGCAACTCAATATCGAGCTTTAGTTTCCCCATGACCTCTTTGAGCTTGATGCGAGAGTCCTACTGGGCGTTTAGAGTCACCAATACCTCGTGAGCGCAGATCTTAATCCTGCATATCTCACCGTGATTCTTATCAATTCTGCATAGCCTTTGGCAACGGTAGGAGTCTGCTTGATTGTGCATTTTTAGCTCAAACGGTTGCATCCAAGCGGATGCACTCTGCCTGGGTAAGCTGCAGGCTGCTTTCACGGGGTCAGCAACGTTCCCGTTGCAAATGCCTTGAGATATGTCGAAGCAACTCGTCTGTCTTGAAGAGCCAAGCTACGATGATTATTCCGATTGTCTTTTCCAAGGCAGTATGGAGTCTTGCTCTCTTTGGCAGGAGGTTTAGACAATAACGTTGCTGCATTTGTCATGGTCAGCTTACCAATGATATCATTGTGTTCCGTCATTCATGGCAATGGCTATGTTTCTAGAGGATTTAAGGCTGTGCCGGTCGATGTTGAGCCCAAGTGCGACAGTATCGATCACCTGTCTGTATTTCATTCGCAATGGAGCAGTTTGAATTTCACCCCGCTACCACATCTTTCAATCGTGCTTGGTCGACTATCGAGCCAGGCGTCGATGAACTAGTCCTCAACGAGGACGCGCAGACAGGCAGACGTACAACATTACAGCGATGGCAGCCTGGCGCCCGCAATCAGCAGGACATTTTCATCCACGACTACGTTGAAGAAATTTTCATGGTCGAGGGTGATTTGTACGACCAGAATCTGCAGCAGGGTTGGGAGAAGGGCGCGTATGCGTACCGAAAGCCCGGGATGCGGCATGGTCCTTTCAAGAGCGAAGGCGGATGTTTGATGTTTATTGTTTGTATCCCCGTGGATGCGAATGGTAAAGAGGCTGGTGATAGAGTCTGACGGGTAGCTGCATTATTCCCGATGGAGTTTTCGTATCCTGCAACTCAAAAGGTCACTACTGTGCCATGCATGCGGATGATTTCCGTGAATCAATATGGGGTCGAAATGGGATCGGAAAGGAGGGCGTTTAAGGCCGGGGCCGAAGTTCGGGTTTGGTTCTCGGTCTTAACGAGACAACACAGATTACTCCTGCAAAGACAGTCAGTTTGGTGCTTTAACGGAATGAAATTCGTAACGGCAAAGTCTCATATATATATATGCTCAATATATGACGCTGTATCTTATATCTGTTCCCGGGTAGTGGATGTGTTTCGTTGGCAAATCAAGCAGAAGGTATGTAGCATGTACAAAGTGACAGGATCTCATGATCTTCTGGTCTGGAAGTTTACACAATTGATCTATCTGATCCATAGGATCATACCAATCTTGCACATTTCAGCGCTTCCCAAACAGATATCATGGCAAGTCTAGAAGGCATACAATGTTAGCCCGAAAGTTCGGTCATGATATGTCGGGCTCGGTGATACCAGCTCAACACTAACATCTCTCCCGATCTTAATTGCCGTATTCAGCTCGTAAATAGGTCTTCCGGACTCATATTTCATGTATATAAAGTAAGAGGACCCTTCTGACTTCAAAACCTTATCTCCGTCTTCGTCACCAACTTCCATCACCATGGCACCATCACCAACAGCCCTGCAAGCTCTAGAGGCAAGTCCTCGCGTGCACGACCTCCTCACCCGGCTTCACGCCGAATCAGAAGCCCAAGAGAAGACTATCTCTCAAACCTGGTTCTACTTCAAATATCTCTTCGGCTTCTACCTCACCGGTAAAACATGGTCTACTACCGCAGACGCACACATGAGCGATAAGTTCGTCGCCCTAGAGCAAGATAAATGCCAATTCATGTATCTTCTCGCCCGCAGTATCAACGCAAAGAACATCGTTGAGGCGGGAACTAGTTTTGGCGTTTCGACGATGTATCTTGCTCTGGCGGTGGGACAGAACGTCAACGCTATGAGAGCGAGGGGTGAGAAGGTTACGGGGAAGGTTGTTGGTACCGAGTGGGAGAGTAGTAAGGCTGATAGGGCGAGAAAACATTGGAGTGAAGCCGGGGAAGAGGTTGAGCCGTGGATTGAGCTGAGGGAGGGAGATTTGAGAGAGACTCTTTCGGAGGAGGGTATGCCTGAGGAGATTGATATGCTGCTCCTCGACAGTAAGTTCCAAGAGCCTTGATTTTCAAGAGATGCTAATGTTGAACAGCTTGGATACCAATGGCTCTTCCAGCTCTAGAGATCATCAAGCCTCGTCTGAGGCGAGGAGCTATCATTCTGGCTGATAACACAAAGATGGCTAAGGCGCTGTATAACGAGTTTTTGGACTATATTCATGATCCGAATAATGGGTTCAAGACTACTACCACGGCTTATAGTGGTGGACTTGAGATGATCGTGTATCTACCTTGAAACGGTGTTGGATATAATGCTGATTTGTGATTGGAGTTGAGATTAAGGTCAGAAGTTGAGGTCTAAAATCTATGAAGATGCTATCTGATACACGGGCTTTAAATTCATTCAAGACTTGTAAGAGATTCAGAAATGTGTGACCCTCCCATTATAGTGAAAAGTCGAGGCGGGATGCCAGTCTCCAAGTATACCAAAGATGAGCCCCTAAACCAATCAAGTTCAAATGAATACACATGGCATGCGAAGTCGTAAATCGCTTCTTGATAATGGCCATCGTAGAACTCGGCCCCTCTGCCATCTTCCCTTCCAGCGTCCCTATCTCATCAGCCTATATCTCACAGAAGCAACGAAGTAACTTACCCTGCTCAACACGATCCAGCATCAACTGTCTCGTCCTCGGTCCAAACACCATAAGATTAAGTCCCGAGACAAACCCAGATATCGCAAAGGGTATCCAATCGCTCTTGTGCTCGATGAGTGAGAGTGCACCGTACGGAGGGAGTGTTATGGCTGTGAGAAAGAGGAGAAGAGCTTGGCCTTGGAAGAAAATAGGGAAGAGGTTCTTTTGCAAATTGATGTAGGGAGTGCGTGGGAGGTGTTTGAAAGTGACTTTTGTGATGATAAAGGTTTGGTACAGTTGAGAGCCGAGAAGGGTTGAGAAGGAGAGGAGATGGACTGGCGCGAGGAGTGCTGTTACAATGGCCATCTTGTTGTATGTTGAGTTATTTCAGATGTTTTGGTCTATTGGTAGCTGGGAATAAGTGTAAAGTAGGATTTGGATCTGGCGTTGGACGTTTCTTATACTTGGAGTTGAAGTGTCGTTGATTGGTGTAGGTTAGATCCGAAGGTATTCGGAAGTTAAGCTTACGTCTGAGAAGCGGCGTCATAAAGAGTAGCATTCGTAATCGGCCAACATTGATTTGAGCTTGTAGATACTGCAACAAATTACCATAAATATCTTTTCAATCAAGCCATGTCTCGTCCATATTGTTGTGGTACAGAAACAGGCAACGATCCTGTTCAAATCAATGTAAGCATATGAGATATTCGCTTCATCCATAATGCATTACAGTAACTTTATTTTTTTCATAATCACATAGTTTCATATTCTACGGAGTATACCGTGAGCCTATTATAGTAGTCTACCTAGTCCTTCATCCCCGGGTATGCCATGACCGTCAACGCCGGCCAGCTCTTAACCCGGGGCCGGACATCAAGACCCACTCCAACATCCGGCCCCGTTCGGCAGCAGATGATTTCTTCGGATTTATAGCTAGGTGAGACAAAAGAATAAGCATTCATCACGTCATACGGCACACAGGCAAGGTGAAATGAGCATCAGAACCTGTTTCACTCACAGATGCCAAGTTGCATAAAAAGAAAGGTCTCGGAGGGAGTCGAACCCTCGCTGGCGGAATCAGAATCCGCAGTCATAACCGTTAGACCACGAAACCTGAGCACATGGCAAGTGTGTGAATGGCTGCGACTCGATTTGCTAACTATACCTTGAGAGGCAATACAGCGAAATCAACTTGAAGACTCTCATCTAGAGTCTCTCTGAAAGCTGTTTTCATTCAGAGCAACCAGAGATTGAATTCACTCATTCTATGGCTGAGGTATATCGTAAACAAAGGCATTCCGGAAGCAAGACATCACCCAGTCCACGTCAAACGCAAACCCAACAAGGAAATCGCATAGTCCATAAACATATCGTCATATTCTCATGATTTCCCCCTAAGCATCAATGATCTCAAAGTTCACAAGAACCGAACACTGCGTCTCATGTCCCTTGAGATCCAACATGCGAATAAACCTCCATCCCGGCTCAACATAGAGCAATCTCACCGCTGCAACAGCAAACATCGGGTTCTTCGTCCAACTGTCATCACTCTTGATAAGCATCCGCAGGAAAGTCAACTCATTATCCTCATACTCCCACGTCAGCGTCTCATCCCAAAGAGGCTCTGTCGGGGGCGGGTTTGGTCCCCTGTGAAGAAATTCAAGCTTGTGCTGCTTATACGGCTCTGTCTTGCGCTTGGGAGGGTCGCCTTTGATGTTATCAGGGTGGTACAGCGTGCATGTGAGATACGGCTTGATGGAGTCTGCTTCTGAGTCGCCGTGCAGGGGGATATCTGTTGCGCCTGCGACGTGAAGACGGAGACGCTTGCTGCGACCTGTGCTCAGTCTTCCGTTTCCACCGGCGCGCAGAGCAGCGGGCTTGAGAACGTAGCCGTCTGTGCCGCTGAAGAGGGCTTCGTTGAGTTGGTTGCTGGTACCAAAGTTTTGCAAGTTCAACGCACAGATCTGAGCTCCGATTCCCCAGTAAGGAACGGGCTTGAGATTAGTGGATGAGATTCGCGTGCCCTTGGGATAAACGCGCATGAGATGGTGGGAATTGTGTCGAGCGATATGTGATGCGTGCTCGGGAAGATGAGATGCCAGACCTGATTCAGATACGTTGATAAGATGGTGATGAGGACCGTTGGCGAGAGATCCCTCTTCGAACCACGAGTTATCCATTGGCTTGACAGACTGCGCATAGACACCCAGCTCAGCGAGCTCTGGAATGATGATGGAGGGCTCCTCCTTCTTTCTCTTATCCTTGTACTCCTTACGCGCAGCCTTTTCTTCTTCTTCGTCTTCCGAGTCATCCGAGCTACTGTCGCTGCTAGAAGGCTCATCTGTAAAGTGATACTCAACAATAACAGCAATCTTCGCACCAAGATCCTCCAGCTTCACATGTTGACCAGAACCAGCCTGTTCTTCATGTCCGATATGTCTAACAGCCTGGCTCAAAAGTCGATCTCCAAAAACATCCCGCATAATGTTGACAAGGCGCATCTGACCGTAAGCATCGCAGTGGTTCTCCAGCGACAGTAGAATAGGCGAAGCTCTGAAGCCATACTTTTGCGCATCAACGGCTTCTTGATCTGCCGAGTTTCGAATCGTCTCACACACCAGACGAAACGAAATGTTGGATACTAGAGTATACCCATGAGTGACCTTGGGCTCATCTCTATCATCGCTGTTATCCCACGCATCAATCTCAACACATCTCGCCCCGGTCCTAATCGCGCTCTCATACGCAGTCGCACACGAAGACCCATAAAGCTGGTGCGCCATAAGATAAGTATTATGGCTCGAGCTGATGAAGTACTCGGGCAGCGGATGCGACCTATCCGTAAGTTCAGGCGGTACGCGAATATGCGGTTTGCTGACGAGTTCCAAGAGCTCACGCGACGAGTCCTGAGAATCAATCCTGGCTTCCTTTTTAGAGAGCATCTTCTCTTTGACGAGGAACTCTCGTAGGGCGCTGCTGACTCTGAGGTCTGTTACAACGCGGCGTGCGCTGTGGCCGCCGCCCGCGACGGTGTTGTTGTCGATCTCCTCGCCAAAATCTTCATCGTTGATGCGGCGGCTTTTGGAGGAGAAGGGGTTGAGGTCGCCGATGCGGGTTGCGAGTTCTGAAGCCATGACGTACGTTGTGAAGATGGAGGAGTGAGGTGAAGGGAAGTGGGATGAGATGAGATGAGGGGCAGCTGAGGGGAGCTTTCAGCTAGAGTATAGCTGTAGCTGAGCTGGAATGATTGAGATGTAGAGATGAGTAAGTACCTATGTAATCAGATCATTTGATCAACAGTGAAAAGAAACAAGAATTATATGTCGCATGGAGTCACTCATCATGGTTTAAATCAAGAATCGATATAGAGATGATGGAATGCACTGCCACGATCGTAGACTGTCACGTCTTGGCTTTTCTCACTTGCTCGAATTCTCCGCATCAAACACCAAGAATGAGGCGCCAAGCAGAACCTCACTAGCAAGGTCAGCTCTTCACCAAAAGTCCAAAACATGGATGTCCCAATATTCACGGCATCTGAAGCCGAGTTGGCACAGCTTTACTCAGTCGTTATTTGCTGCATCGTGTCTCTCTGTGGATACCACAAGAGCTTCGCCACAAATTGTCACCAGTCCAAGCTCTTGGGGTTTTGGTTGGTCTTGTCGTATTGTTTGCTTCAATGCCGAAAATCTGAGAACGCCTTACATGATCACGAATTAATCATCCTAATCTTGACTTCTTTTCATAAACTTAGTAATTAAGAACATGCCATATTTGTTGACATGCGATAAGATACAGCAGTCCTGCATTGTGAAACTTTTGGCATATAACCGACCGAGATTCCCCCAACCCAAACCATATTCCTTCCAAATTGCTATGCACTCAATACACTACCCGCGTCCTCAAGATCGAAAGAAAACATCATGCTGATTTTCCGAAACACGCCCTGGCATATGCTTATGCCCAATAATGCCCCTCGCTCTCTTCTTTCTTACATCTTTATCACCCAGACAGACCCAGTAGCCGGTTCGAGGTTTGCATTTCGCCAATGGCCTCCAGTGTCGCTCCACCTCACCAGTCTCGTGCCTCTGTTTCACTGTCCAGCCCTGACGGAGAGCAAGGCTGCGCTGTACAGCGTACGTGCTTGTAGGATAGGCGACTGAGAAGTCAACATGTGGTTTGAGGTAAGGCACCATTTGGTCGACTTTCATGATAATATTCTCCTCCACAACATTGATCCGCTGCTTAGTCGAGTACTGAGTCTCGCTGATTTGGCCGTACGATTTCGGGATCATGTCTCCTTGTAGGGAGACATAGAGTTTCCTGATGTTCAGAAAAAGATTGGGAATGGCCTTGAGAAACTGCCTGAAAGACTCGATATCGCTGAGGGGTGGAGCTACTCTGAAGTCTTCGTTGGTGTCGAGTATGAACCATGGTGTAAAGTCCCAGACTATTTCGACAGATATGATGGCATTGAGTCGCTGTTGCTGAAAGAAGTCGTGCATGTTCAGGATCATTACTTTGCTTGCGGTATGAAAAGTGTTGGTGGCGTACAGCACGTGAATTCCTTCACGATATCTACGTTGTAATGTCAGAGGGTGCTTCAAAAGACGGAGCTGGGGCACATACGCTTGCTTGCAGGAGAGCAGCCAGCCCATGGCGCCAACGGAACACTTCTTGGGCCCTTCGCCAGGCCAGTGCTCACATTGTGGTCGAAATCCCTGTCGGCCATTCCATCCATAGACACACTCATCGTCGCATGGCTGAGGATCGTACCCTGGTCCGCGTGAGTCTATGCTGCCAGAGGGCGGGAATCGATGGCAAACGGAGCTTTTCCAGGCCCATTTCTTCTCCGACTGTTTGGACAAGTCAATGACAAGAGGGCCGGGATACAGGAGGCGGTTCTGGGGAGAAGTAGTGCCATACTATGGCAGTTGCCGAAGACCACCATGACGCTGAGAGTCGGCAAAGATTGGAGGGCCATAAATGAGATCCACGTGAATTGTGCGGTCGCCGAATGCAAGGCGCAGAATTCTCGTGCGAATTTCAGTTGGGAGTAGTTGAAAAAATGCGCAGTTTGCATCCTCATTTACACATTGAGGTGGCTCTGGAGTGAGCAGCCGTCGAGGTTGTCCATTATGCGAAGATGGCAGAGGAGGTGTGTTCATAAACGGTGTCCCAGGAGGCAACGGATATCTTCTCATCATCTTGGGCGAGAATGATGTTCATCTGAGAGAAGAAGAGAAGAGGTTGTTAGAAGTTAAAAGGATGAAGGAGAAGCGTTGCTGTCTTGCACCAAAGAGGTATGGTAAACAAGGTAAGGACGCAGATTGCTTCGAGGAAGGTACTAGGTAAAGATCGAAAGAGATATTAGAAGAATTATCGCAGTAGCAGTTTCTGCCTCAGTATGAGGCAGCTTGAAATTTGTAGTAACAATATTAAGCCATACAGAACTTTTGAGCTCTCAAATGGGTGATAAGTTTTTGGTAGATTTATAGAAGTCGGAGCATCAACTTCTCTCGTCTCCAGGGTACCTCAAGGTCGCAAAATAGCAGCCTTGCGCACCAGGCATCAAGGCACCGAGAAGTAGCCCCACTATCCTCACAACGCGTAGAAAAAGAAAAATCTCGAAATTTTATTTGACTTCCTTTTTCTCTTTTCTCTCCAATTCAAAATATTGAACAACGCAAAAAACCACGTTCATGTTTCTCTAATAATTGATGCGAGGTGCGTCGAAAGGCCTGCGCCCAGGACCATCGATTCAGAGGAACACAGAATGGAGAGAAAAGCGAACAATCTTGGGTGCGGTGCTTCCCTCGACGATGGGGAGGAGCGCAATGATTGAACGTACATACTTTGACTTTGATGTAGTATCTGCTTGTGTTAAATGGCCTGCTGATGGGAGTCAGGGTCTGTGAATGTCTGAGAGTGCTCGACTGTAACGATGCTGAAGAAAGATCAACATGGATCTGCCCTTGCTGCATGACATGCACACAACAATGCACTGTATCTACGATGTTACAATATGTATGTCTCGAGGCTCTTCATTGAAAGGCAATGAGGCTGAAGAATCTGCTACTTTCATCCGCTTGCAAATGTCAGAAGCCTGTCGTACAGAACCCGGCCCATCAATAGTGTCAAACTCTGCACTGTCAATATTGACCTCACATCCTACTCAAGCTACCATTCCTGCTACATCACAAGAAACAAGAACATTGAGACAATCAGTTGAATTCGAGCAACTATTTCGAGCTATCCTAGCCATGCCTATCGACTCATGCCAAAAGCAGAATCGCATATAAAAAAGCAGCAGACTCAAACCATCCACTACCGTTATCCAGAAATAAAGTACAGCAATATTAAGCTGCATAGAAGAGAAAAGAGGAACTTGTCCCCCTGCATGGCCATATCCATCTGTTTATTTTGTCTCTTGTCATTCCTTCGAGCGTATTTTTTGCTAATTTTCGTAGGTAAAGAGTGACGAAAATATCACCGACGTACTATAAAAGCAAACGATCGGATTCAAAAGTCATCGACACCTGAACAAGTTAGAAGATGCTCGATATGAGAATATGACATGGAACTTACTTATTCCTCGGGCATGTCGGCAATGCTGCGAGCTGCTGCCTTGATAGCAATGAGATCTCGCTTGGCCGCAAAGTTCTCTGCCTTGAAATCCCGAGCATCGTAGTGAGAGTCGGGACCTCCAGGACCAGTAGCACCATCATCGCCATCAACGGCATCGAGAACTGCCTCAGCAGCCCGCTTGGCTTTCCAGCAAGGTTGTCCTCGCCACATGCACCAGCGCTTATCCTCCTGAAGAGTGTTGAGGTCGCGCTTGGCGGTAGCGTTGGGAGCAGCGTCGGGGAAGAATGTCTCGAGCTCGAGGCTCTTGAAGTACTCCTCGGGACTACCGCGGGCAGAGAGGGCGATCAGGTTGGCGAGCTCGACGATGGAGCGCTTGGCCTTGTGGGCGGCGTCGCGGGGGAGATGGGCGGTGCTGGGTGCGTCGGCGGATCGGGTGTCGAGAGATCGAGTTGCGTGGAGGGCGTTGGAGAGAGCTTGACTGGCATCACGCTTGGCTTTCCAGCATGGCTGTCCTCGCCACATACACCAGGGCTCGGGAGTAGCGTCACGCTTAGCCTTCCAGCAAGGTTGTCCACGCCACATGCACCAAGGCTCGGGAGTAGCATCACGCTTGGTCTTCTTCCAGCAAGGCTGGCCTCGCCACATGCACCATCTGGGTTCGTTCTCAGCCTCGGGAGCGGGTTCAGGGGCAGCAGCGCGCTTGGTCTTCTTCCAGCAGGGTTGTCCGCGCCACATGCACCAAGGCTTGGGCTCGGGCTCAGCAACGGGAGCGGCCTCGCGGGTCTTGAGCTTCATCTTCTCCTTCCAGCAGGGCTGTCCGCGCCATGTGCACCAGGGCATAGGCTCAGCAACAGGGTCAGGCTTGGGGGCAGCGACGGGTTCGGGGATAGCTTCAGGCTCACGCTTAGCCATGCGCATCTTTTCCTTCCAGCAAGGCTGGCCTCGCCATGTGCACCAAGGCATTGGCTCAGCAACAGGGTCGGGCTTCGGGGCAGCAACTGGTTCGGCGATAGGCTCACGCTTAGCCATGCGCATCTTCTCCTTCCAGCAAGGCTGACCTCTCCAGGTACACCAGGGCATAGGCTCAGCAACGGGATCAGGCTTGGGAGCTGCAACAGGTTCGGGAATAGCCTCGCGTTTAGCCATTCTCATCTTTTCCTTCCAGCAGGGTTGTCCACGCCAAGTGCACCAGGGCATAGGTTCAGCAACAGGGTCGGGCTTAGGAGCGGCGATAGGCTCGGGAATGGCTTCAGCCTCACGCTTGGCCTTCATCTTTTCCTTCCAGCATGGTTGGCCTCGCCAAGTGCACCACGGCATTGGCTCAGCAACTGGATCAGGGTTGGGTGCAGCAACTGGCTCGGCGGTGGCCTCTCGTTTAGCCATCTTCTCCTTCCAACAGGGTTGTCCTCGCCAGGTACACCAAGGCATAGGATCAGCAACGGGATCAGGTTGAGGAGCTGCAATAGGCTCGGGAATAGCTTCACGTTTGGCTTTCATCTTTTCCTTCCAGCATGGTTGGCCCCTCCAGGTACACCAGGGCATAGGATCAGCGACAGGGTCAGGCTGAGGCTCAGGAACTGCATCACGCTTCTGAGGGCCGCAGAAGTGCTCACGGCCAGCCTTGCAGATGGCATCGGCATTCTTGTCGCCCTTCCCAACGAGCTCCTCGCATGGCTTGCCCTTGTAGTCGAGGTTGCAGAAAGGGGTGAAGAAATCCGGGCCGAAGTTGTCGATGGCGGACGGCGGAGGTGCCGCGAGTGCGGCTCCGGCCACCGCGGCCAGAGTAACGAAGGAGTATTTCATCCCAGGAGGTTGTGTGTCTCAGTAGTGAGTGTTTCGAAGTGTAAAAGTTGTGTTTAAGAAAGTGAGTGGTACTCGTAAAAGAGTTGTCGTGTATCAAAGGTGTTTTGAGATATCGTTGTCCTTCTTTCGATGGGAACGAGTCTGAAGAGAAAAAAAGGAGAGTATTTATGATGGAATTGAGTAGTTCTTTATAGATTCTGAGGGTAATGTTCACGATAAAGATTGACAAGTTGGCCATCTTGAGAGAAAGGGAATTTGCCCGTGCATACACACACTTGCTCTGGTTGTGGTGTTGTAAGGCTTCTATTGAGGTCTATTGACGTTTTGCGGGGTCAATAAGCCCCCTTCGCTCTTCGGTTCGAACAGTAACAGTCAATGCGAGATTTCTGTTCCCAATAGAACCAAGTCAAAGACGATCAAAGACGGTACAAGCCACGAGTTGCATGCAAAAGATATCAGAGCTTCCTCCGAGAGAGTGTGAGTAGCTTTGCGGCTTATTCACAGAAGCCATTGCGTAGACTATCATCTAAACCACGCCTAGCTTAACGATATGCGACACTTGCAACTCATTCACCTCGCTTTTTACTTGCCAGACGCGAATGCACGAGGGTATTAACCTTGGCAGGCGGGATGAACGTTGGTTCATGCGAGTTGTCGGGTTATTTGGCTATTGACATCTGTCAGTGCTTAGTGAGGTTCTATTGACACCCAAAAAGGGTAAGGGGGCGGTTGTAGCCTACAAACGGCGAGAGGAGATGAAACAAACCTACGTTCTCTTTGAGAAGTGGCTTTGAGAGTGTTTGGGAGTGTTTGAGAAAGAAAAATGTTTATTTTGGGTTAAGTTGTACTTGCTGTGGTTATGCTACAGCTGTGACATCGGTTCAAGGGGTGATGTTGTTAGTCATTACGTATCGAACTTCAAGATATGTCCGGTTCATGAGAAGTTATCGTAGAAAGCTATCACAGTGATAACTAAATATCAATATGTCGTCAATAAAAATACCGTCTGTGCTGATATCTGACGACGCAGGTACTCGATACTCTGACTCCGTCTGCCAGTGTCACGCATTGCAGTGCCCACCCCCGACGACAACCAATTACCTATCAAATGTAGTGGATCCAAAGTTCATATTACCGATACCGATGAGAGACTCAGAAGAGATGGCAAAAGAATTGACGCTGGGAGAGTGTCGAGACTGTTCCGCCTCATGTCAACGCCACTCCTATGTGACCACTCAACATCACAGACACATGAGCAGTCTCTTTGGCGATGATCAAAGCCTCATTAGAACACATGCGAATGTTCGCGTTCAATTCTTTGTTACAAGACGCCGGGAAAGTTTTCGGTTGACTCAAAATGGGTCTCAATAGATTCAGGGGTGATGGCTCTGACCCTCAAAGAGACGCAACTTCACCTAGGCAAAGCCCACTAACTGCTCTATCTGTTTTTCACTTCCTAGGATCCCAGTTCTTGTCCACCTGATCCAATAAGCCCTTCTTACCCAACACCTTGGGCCCCAGGATCTTCTCAAGACTAACCAGCTTGAAGCTCGCCTCAGCACTGGTCTTGCCATTGGGCAGTTGGTTCGCATCATCGTGCACAACCACCAAACCGTGAGGGAAATCCTTGTTCAGCGCTGTTCCCACAGCTGTTATGCCGTCTGTGTTGGACACTGGGTCGATCTGGCCGTCTGATGACTCCACAAGTGTAAATGTGGTAACGAACTCGTGAGGAGCGGCTCGTCGGTAGACGTTGTATGCGCTGACGCCTTGGCATGATACGAGGATGAAACCCTCCGTGGGCTTGGAGCCGTAGACGAGGGTTACGCCCTCAACATCGCCGTAGAGCTTGCCATCGCCGACTTTGCCGATTACTACACCCTTGTCTTTTGAATCAGGCTCTGCATCGTATCGCCACAGAGCAGAGGGCTCTTCGCCGAGGAAGATCCAGCCGTTTTCTTCGTCGGTGACACAGCCCTCGACTTGGCCTCCGCTACCGCCTTGAAACTCTCGAACAAGCTTGGTCTGGAGTTCTCCTTTAGATGTGGAAGTGAGTTCGTACTGGAGATATCGTGCTGATTTCTCGTTGACGAAGAGATATTGCTTTCCTGTCTTGGGCGACTTGTAGGTGCACGAGCCGTATACCTTGTAGTCGTCGACAACAGGGTGGATGCCACCGGCGATATTGGTCAGTGTGCCGTTGGGCAACATCTCGAAGAGACTTGATCGTCAGCTAACTTCAAACATCAGGGAGAAGTAACTTACCAGAGCGTATCATCAGCTCGACACGCAGCAAAAGCCAGGTCAACCTTTCGATTACCCGCCATGAAACCATAGATCATGTCGACATTATTAGGCTCTCCGGCGGTGAAAGACTGGAGAAGGTTGCCGGCCAAGTCGAAAACGCCAAGGCCAGCTTCCTTTCCAGACTTCATCGTCGTGACGATCCGAGACTTTTCTGGTCCCTCAGGAGAGATCCAAATGGCAGGATCATCGCCATCACCAAGACGAGATTCAGTCTCGTAGGTTGGCTCAATGAGAAGAAACGAGCAGTGAAGACCACCCCATCCCTTGTCGCACTTACACTCGTTGGGTCCAACACATTTTCCATGGCCAGAGCACTTGTCGGTGCAGGTGAAGCTGCTGCAAATATTTCCAGCGAAACCAGCGAAGCATTCGCATTTGTTCTTCTTGTCCTTGATGCAGTAGCCGTTGCCTCCGCAAGTTTTGCAAATTGGCTCAGTCTTGGTGTCTGTCTTGACCTTTCTGGGGTCGTACTTGGTGTTGGCCTCGATCTTGAGCTTCTTCAAAGCGTTCTCGAGAGATGAGACGGCGAAACCGTTCACGTCCTCTGACTCAATGGCGTAAGTGAGAGCACCAGCAGGATACTTGCTCGTAGCACCTTGATATATGTTCAGACCCTGCACTTCAATGTCTTCTTGTCCTGTCAAACACAGGGTGCCCTTGAGCTTGAAAGAGGAATCGTAGACAGCAATTTTGTCAGTTTCAGCAACAAATAAGTAGTCCGAGCCCTTCTTGGGAACGTAGACGGCCAAGCCGGTCACATCATCTTCTGCCTTGCCAACCTTGGTGATCTTGGGCGCTTTGGTAGACTCTTTGAGTGAAAATGCATAAACGCTCTTGTCGTCATCTGTAGAGATGTACATGCGAGACTCGGAGCGTGAAACGGCACATCCCGACGTTTCAAAGTCAGTAGGGAAAGTTTGGATCTAGCAAGTCAGCAAACATTATCGCCTCTTCTTCGAGAGAAAACGCACCTGGACAAACTCAAATGACTTCTTTGTCTCCTGAAGAAGTAGTTTAACTGCCTGTCCCTTTCCAAACAAGAAGACATAGTCGTTTCCAGCAGGACTCTTCCAACTGCACAGTGCAGACCAATCTCCTAGAACTTTAAAGTCTGCATCTTTGATCTGCTTGAACTTGGGCATCTCATAAGCGCGAACGATAGAATCTGGCTGAGCGATGGTGACGAGGATATCCTTCTTGTTGACATCGTAAACAGTGGTGACAAGCTTGCTGCGTCCAGGTGTTTTCGCAGCGACTTCTTTCAACGGCGCCTTTGAGTTGAGATCATAGACGTGAAACCCTCCCTTGTCAGGTCCTCCATCGTTTCCAATCAATAGAGGATTCCGGTCAGAGTAGTAAACAGCAGTCCAATCAGACTCAACTTCGCTGGTGTAAGCAGAAACCGCAACGTCTACGTCCACCGCCTTGACGAAGCATATCTGGAAGACAACAGCCAATAGGCCAACGAGACTTGAACCAACCATGATTGCTAGGATACTCTTCCTCTGCAGAAAAGAGAAGCCTCTATTGTTGCCTTCCATTGGATCCTTTTTTATATGAACTTCGCCCAAGGCACGTGCTACGCTCAATTGGTCACTTATGCCGATGGATGGTAATAACTGAAATGTCCTGCCAATTTAGTCGAGGGCGACATCGAATTCTACACCGAGCACTTTTGTGAAACGATGCTCGTGTTGCAAAGGTGTAGTTCTATTGGGTAGGACAGGGATTAAGACTTCGGGGGGTTTGTTAGCGGGCATGTTTATCGCATGTAGAGTTGTCTATTCATGGCAGAAATGTTATGATGGTGAGGGAAATATAATGAGGCTAGACAGAATAAAGTAAATAAGCTTAATTAGCTTTATGACTCTATTCTAGTGTTGTGCTGTGTTGGAGGAATTTTGTACATGAATTCTTCTCGGCTTTATTGTTATTTACCTCTGACCTTTATTGTTCATGCAACGCTGTTTCGAAACGTCGATCCTAGCCGTTGCAATCTTAAAGGCCGTTTTTATAGGAAACAGACTTTACTTGAAGCAGAATCTCAGCTATTAATATAAGATCTTCACTTAAGATTAAATTATCATCAGTCTAATCCACCTTCAGAGCTTCCCTTCAGGCCCATCGCGAGAGTACCCAATAAACCCTGAGCTGCTATAGCCAGGGGACCGGATCGATGAGTCTGCACTTCTTCAGCGAAACTTATGCGGCCCTTGTGCCAATGAAGCCAGTTCTCGGCTCTAGCTCCTTCATCAGCTCGAAATAGTCCTGCACTCACGTCAACTACACTTGAATCAGCAGCATCTCGCCAAAACACAGTTGCACCGCATCCACCGCAAAAGTGACGAACTGCACCTTGCGACGATTGGTATGCCTTCAAAGCATCCGTCGGTAACCTCTCAAAGTCTAACGGAACCTCTGATCCTGAACCATCTGCTGAAAGGATGGATATGTTCGCCCGGGGGATAAAGGCCCAGGTCTGTATCTCGAACCCAGAGGCCAGCCGACAAGATTCACAAGCGCAGGTTCCAGCGAGATATCTGTCTCCTTTGATCCACCACTTTTCATGTGATGGGTTCGACGTGATAGACTCATCAGTAGAACAGTAAGGGTATGTTAGGTCAGGATATGCGCGATGCGGTAGATAGCTGGCCTCGTTTGGGCGTGTGATGCGAAGATGGATAGCCTCGCAC